GTAGCATGATTGATAGGTGAGGCAATTCTCCTCAGAGCCCTTTTCTTCCAACTTGGATAACATAATATTCCATAATTAGAAAATTCAACCTAACTAAACTACGTGCTTAATTTTATTTTTGCTAAGCCCACCCAATTGCAGTACATGGTTTCGTTTTTCCTAATCACAATAGTTGTATAATTTTTGTATACATTATCTTGCAATGTTGTGCACGATTGATTACGCTTTTCTAGTTTCTGTATTGCAAGAACTTCCTTTGGAGCTGTGTTCTTCCTGTTTATATCATGAATATGAATTTTACTGCTTTACAAAATAATATCATGAGTTTTTGCCCACTATTTATAGACTAGATAGTCTGCTGTGCATAGATTCTAAAACCTATTATCTTTTATTTTCTTTAATTAACCAACTAATAACTTGCCCGAATGAATCAATTACCTACCCGATTATTGTACTTGTACCTAATGATAAGTTAGAAAAATAGGACTCTTCTTGACTTGTGATTAAATTAATAGTAAAGTTTAAAAGAGAACACATTTTTAGAGTACATTAGTGAACCACGTTGAAATCTACTAATTACATCATTTGTACTAATGATTATTGTGATTTTTAGTGGTATAGTCTACAAACATATGGTCCCCTGCTGGATTAAAGTTCTCATTTGGGAGTTGGTATTGACAAAATGAGGGGAAGTGAAAGCATAAGAGAACTCTTTTCTTAATTATAGTGGGGGTAAAATCTACTTAGTCATAATGTAAAACACATTAATCAAGAAAGCAGGGGCAATTTAGACATTTTGACATGATCTAACACAAAATTATGTGCCCCATGCATCATGCATATGGGCACCCGTATCCATAATCCATAATATCTCATCAAAAAGAAAAGCTTATAAACTCTTTTTCTTTTTTCTTTTTTCTTTTTATAGGAGAGAGAAATCAAACTCAGAACTCGGAGTATAAATAAATGATTTTAATCACTTGAGTTACACACCTTCCGAATCATACGAAATCTTTGAGAAAGAAGAAGAAAGTTTTGTTAAAAACGACAGGTGAGAGTTATAATTGTCAAGCCCGTAAAAGGAGCTTCTTGTAAAGCTGAGTGCTTCAGAGAGAGAACTCCATTAAAGTACACACTACCCATTCATCCATCTCTCTCTGTTCTGCGTTTGGCTCCATTATTTTTGTACCTCTCTCTCTCAGACAATTTACACAAACAAAAACTCTCTCTTTCTCTCTCCGAGAGGCTCAGAGCTGGCATGGGCCACTGTCAGGTCCCTGCTTTTCACTATCCCTCCACATTCACCACCTTTATCACTCTCTCACTACCGCTTCTTTAGAAAGAGAAACTAACCTCTCTCTCTCTCTCTCTCTCTCTCTCTCATACATATATATATTGAGGCACATTCATGACCCCCAAAAATATTATGAATGCACTGTAGAGGTCAACCATGGAAATGAGCTCGAGCTCTATGACCGAGTCAGGGAGCTCATCTTCCTCTTCCCCACCAAACTCCTCCACCGAGTCACTCAACGGCTTAAAATTTGGCCAGAAAATCTACTTTGAGGATGCGAGTCTCGGAGCTCCATACAAATCCGGGTCTGCCGGGTCTTCTTCTTCTTCTGGGGCTACACCGCCAAAGAAGCAAAGGGCCGGGCATTTGGCTCATCCGGGTCAGCCACCCAGGTGCCAGGTCGAAGGCTGCCAGGTGACACCAAACTCACAAAACATACAATACACCTGACTCTACTATATTACAGCTAGCCTCAAGGATATTAATTCTCCTAGAAAGAATCATGCCAGAAAATGGCTAAACTAGTTTTCTAACAGTTTTTCATTCTAGAGCAATCTATTATTTGCAGTGTATATAAATTGTATCAATCATCATTCTTTTTTTATTTTTTTTATACAAGCAATAATTTACTATAAATTAATCTAATCTTGAGAAGGGATTCGAACTTGGGTGCAGGCTGACTGCCCTGGTAAACTGACTTAACACACCCTATGTTCAATCATCATTCTTTATTGAATGAAACAGTGGAGTAATTTCAGTGTTCTTACCCAAAACATCAACATTTGTGAGCAGGTAGATCTGAGTGATGCCAAAGCTTACTATTCCAGGCACAAAGTGTGTGGCTTGCACTCTAAGACCCCTAAGGTCATTGTTGCTGGTCTTGAACAGAGGTTTTGCCAACAGTGTAGCAGGTCAGCAAGCACTTGAATTTTTTCTAATACAGTTTTTAGATTTCATTGTTGGGTATTTTTTCAATTTCATTGTTCGACTTTCAAGTTTTATATAAATTTTCTGGTAAACTAACATCTTTGGTGCTTGGTGGGGATGTAGCTTATGTTTCTTGTGGTTGTTGATTTTGTTTGTAATCTAGCTGTGCTACTTTCCAATTTGTTAAATTCTATTTGTGAGTGAGTATTGAGTTATGTATCTTGTTCTTGGTGATTGTTCTTCTGAGTGTTAGCTGCTTTGGACCTTGATGAAGGCTTTTCAGCTTTACTTGTTTTCTTAAATGATGCATTTGGAAGTGTTGCATTTCAATGCTACACTTGCAAGGCTCGTATGGTAAAGTTATGGTGAGATTACTTTCATGAGCTGCATTGAGGCTTGAGAACATGCAACACAGTTCTCACACTGTAAATTGTGACTCGTGAATCGCTTGCAGCAATGGTGAATAGACTAACAACTTGGGTTGAAACAGATAACCAATGTTGTTTCATTGAACTCAAATTTCTTAAGGTTGTAGAAGTTCTTGTGACCAATTTTATAACCTGTGCGAACCATGTCATTCCGAACAGATTTCATTTGCGAGTATAAGATTTGAATTTAGCAGTAAATGTATTTACCTGTGGTACTAGATGGTTTTAGGATTATCTAGTCTCTATGATGGTTCTGATATTACGTGCCTATGCTGCTATACCAAGTGTGAAACATTCTTCTAGATTACAGCAGCAAGTGCAAACTATGCCGGCATGACATAAAATTTCGAGATTTGCTTCATCAATTCTCGGTCGAGTGACAGAAAACTTGTACATTGTATCGTCTCTCTAATAGTTTGTTCTTTGAGATCTTACATGACCCTTTCAATCTAGCAGTATATGAGTAGGGTATTAAGTTCATGATACTTCCCTATGTTTTATTTTGTTCATCAATATTTGTTTATTGTATTTGAGTTTGGAGGTTGAAAAATGGTTGTGTTTTGTATTATGAGTATTGTTAAAGGTCTTAGTCTTTCTGCTGAGGGCGTTTCTTTTTTGTACTAGAACATCTAGCATCCAGTGAATTTCGGGTCTCATCAGTTGTGTCACAAGCACAACCTATGTATGCCGGCCCTTTTTAGAAGAATCTAGATCCTCGGCTTAGCCAAACTAAACACTAATTAAATGTCTGCTTTTGCTTTTTGTTAATGTACAAATTTCTTCAAGTCTTTAGTTCAGGCCCTACATTAATGGTAAATAATTTCTTACCCCTCCCAGATTTCACCAGCTTCCTGAATTTGACCAAGGAAAACGTAGTTGCCGTAGACGCCTGGCTGGTCATAATGAGCGCCGGAGAAAGCCACAACCTGGATCCGTATCTACGCGTTTTGGCCGACTTTCTTCGTCTCTCTTTGGTTAGGCATACCTCATCATAGTTGAATTTCCCTTTAAAATACATTTTTGCGCTCTCTTATGTTTTTTCAGTTTCCTCTTATGCTACGTATAAAACGGCAATAAAATGTTTTACTTGAAATGATAGAAAACAGCAACAAAGTTGGAAGCTTTCTGATGGACTTCACTGCATACCCAAGGCCTGCTGACAGGGATGCATGGGCGACCACGAGAACTTCTGAGCGAGTACCTGTTAATCAAAATGCCAATGGCACGGGTAAGTTTCTTCAACATCCATGGCAGAGCAACTCTGTTACTACATCCGGCAGTTATCTACAGGGTTCAGCAGGCGGGACTAGTTATCCTGAACCTGGAATTCCTCCTCGAGAATGCGTCACGGGAGTGGCTGACTCAAGCTGTGCTCTCTCTCTTCTGTCAAATCAACCATGGGGCTCTAGAAACCGAGTATCGGGAGTTGGGATGAATGCCTACTTGAATACCTGGATGAACACCCAAGGGTCTGTGGCTCAACCAATGGCTCAGGCTGGGACCTCCAACCACTTTCCAACCATTTCGTGGGGTTTCAAGGGAAATGAGGCTGGTAGCAGCTCACACGAGATGCTTCCCGATCTGGGTCGAGGTCAAATCTCACAGCCTCTCAGTAGTCAGTACTCTGGTGTGCTTGAGCTGTCTCAACAGAACAGGAGGCAGCAGCACATGGAACTTAGACACACCAGGGGCTATGACTCCTCCACCAGCCAGCAGATGCACTGGTCACTTTAAAAGGGGTCCCTCATTCTCTAGTTCTTGTGGATGCCTTAAAAAACTTTGGAACTTTTCTTGCAGGTTTTTATGTCTTGTTGGGTAGCAACCCAAACTGATTATGCTTTGTATGTTAAGACTACGAATATCGTAATCTAGGTTAGCCTTGAAGGCTTGAAACTGTCTACCTAGCAATAAAGCTACGATTTGGATGAGTTGTCATTCTATAGTGAGGGCATTATTGAAGGCCGTTAGATGAGGTCCTATCTTAAGAGAGAGGATCTCATCTAAGGACCAATTTGATCCAACGGTTAAGGGATAGGTGGTTAGTTTGTGAATTACTTTTAAGCACTTTGTGCTAAAATTGGGTTCAGTGCCGTCAGGTGTTGATGCTTGCAATATGGCCGTGGCTCATAGTTCAGCTTAATTTTCAAACAGGTTGGCGCTAAATGTTCTCCCATTTTTTATTTCAAACACCAAAGATTTACAGGTTGAATCTTAGACTGGTGGGCCCTGAATTTGTCCAGTTAAAAACCTACAATGTTTCATGAGTTATATTGTAATCCAATTTGGAAAACAAATATTATAGATTTCATAGCCACATTGATTAATCTGCGAAACCATTGGGCAAGCCTTTCCAAATCTCAATAAAGTACCCTAGTTTATTGTTGAGCACTGAGCTTCTATATACATGTACAAACTCCTGCTCTGAGGAAATTCCACAAAAACAAAAAAGAACTAACAAAGAACAATTACTTCGGGGCAAAGCCCAGCCTAATCTGTCGTCCACATGTTCTATAATTGTGTACATATGGTTATTTATCCACACACTCGGGAGATATTTCAAACAGAACTCACAGAGGTGTGATTTAGTACAATCTCGATTATAGGGATTTTCCCAACATAGTTATGAGGGTTAGCTTGCTGCAACTTTCAATTGAATATCTGAGTAAGCAACTTCAGTGCCTTCCTACTGGTTTTTCACTCAGAGAGTTGCACATCGGAGGATAGGATCTTACGAAGTCAATCGGTAAAAAGAATGAAAAAAAATCTCCATAACAAGCAAGTGCATCCATCTCCAAAGAAGAGTTGCATTACCTCTCAGTATTCTCTATTCAAACAAGGCAGAAGGTCTGGGTGTCCACAGCATTAGGGAACTTAGATCAGTGGTCATCTTCATCAGCTCCAGGGCAGTGGGATAATAGTGCCTCCATTGATTCATACTGAAATAAACAGCAGAATCTTTAGCATGACAATAAAAAATGTTGTAGTAAATGATAATTCCTAAATCTTTGTAAGTGTTTGACAAGTCCATGTACTGGGCTTACCTGGCATCCACAAAAGAGGCAGTATCGATGCTCATCTCTCAGTTTCATCAATATCTCTAGCAAATCCTGCAGCCAGAGAGTAACCATCATCACAGGTTATTATAACTAATATTTCCCAAGCAACATCAAGCAGCAATAATACGAAGGTATTAGGACAAGGAAGAAACAGAAAGGGGTGGAAATAGGTCTACAAGGCCTGGAAATAGACCCAACTCCTGATATACCCAGGAAAGAGAATCTAGCATAACAGAACTACAGTTATCTGGATACAATCAACTCACATTTCCCCAATTTTAGCTCTTGGTTATTAAATTATTCAAAGCTGTTTCAGAACTAGTTATTACAAAGACCATCTAAAAGTTTATCCTATGCCCAGAACCTGACCAGTAAACTAGATAAGAAAATTTTAATTACCAGCAGGAAGATCAATGACACGATCAACAAGTCTTTGGTTTAAATTCTACAATATTCAACATTATAAAAGGCCACAGGTTTGCTTTTTCATGTTATCTAGGATTCTAGTGAAACTCATAGATGATGGGACTTGTTCTCACTTAAATTTCCAATTTAAGAGAGCGGGCACTAACTGAAAAATAACTCAACAACAGTTCCAATTTGGATGCAAATAATCATAATCCGTCTAATGTTCTTTGCTCTGCATGTCAACCATGCATTTATGCCAAAATTTCAGTCATATTGCATTAAAAGGATGCTCAATTAAACCAATTATAGACTAAAATAAAAAAACAACAATTCAAGAAACATACCTCTTCTGTAATTTCTTCCTCTTCCTCTTCCTCCTCTCCACCCTCCTCTTCTTCATCTTCATTCTTTTCCGGCGGCACAACTTCCTTATTCTCCAATTGATCCAAAGCAGCCTGCGCCTTCTTAAAATTAACCACAACTCTCCGACTCCGCCACTGTGACTTTTTCCTAGACCCAAACTCCTCCATCATAACCTTCTCATTCCTCCTCTCTGCCCAAGTCCTCATCTCTTCTCTCTTCCTTTTCTCCTTATGCGGGTCCTCCCGCCCAATTCCAGCTCGTGAGCGCCGAATGTCAATCTTCACTGGCTCAGCCTGGCCTGATCCCTCTTTGCCAAGAGCTGAGCCTGGGGTATACCCCATTTGTTTTAAAAGTTTGAATCCTATGTTGGATTGTGGAATAGGAGCAGCCTCTATTTTGGCCAAGGTTTTCTCATCCTCTTCCTGCTGCTTTCTCTCCCTATCTAGTTTACGCTGTTCTTGCCAGTTTAGTGCTTTGGATTTTTTCTTAGAGGGTTGAATACTTTGGTTTTTGCTATTAGAAATCTGAAATATAGATAGTACATTACTGTTAGAGCTTTTGTTCACCAAAAAATGAAGAATTAGCTCGAAAACACAAAACTCATGCTCCATTTTGATGCAAACAAACCCTTTTCCATAACAATTGAGAAAGAAACTAACAAACCCAGAACAAAAATAAAAGCAACAAGAAAAACTCAGGACTAGGTTTCATGATACTTACGATACATTTTCTAGGGAACCAAACAGAAATTAACCTTACTAGTTAAAAACCCTACCTTTTTGGATAAAATTCCTGGAGGGCCGGAGGCTTCTGGAGTCAGGAACTGAGAGAGGTCCCCCATGTAATCATCTTCTTCCGCCATAGCCAGAGAGCTCGAGCACCCACACAACGATTCACTAAGCAAAAACGAACAGTAAGCCTTTGAATTATTTTCCTTTTATTTTCATTTTTTTTAAAATAAAGAAAAAACAAAAATCAATTTTCTGAAGAACCCAGGACTATTGGGCTTGGGCCGGGTTTTTATTAGGCCCAGTTTTGTAACAAACTCCGGAGAAGTGGCACGTGCGAAAATAACGAAACTAACGGTTTTGTGCTGATGTGGGGTCCAGCGATTCAACGATTGTCAAACTCGTTAAGACATTGTTATCAGTCTCTCTCTGGCTCTCTGCAACCTCCACAGCACACATTCCAAACCCTCTCTGCTTTACAATCTCTCTCTCTTTCTCTCTCTCTGTGCCTGTTGCTTCCTCCAAAGGTTCATTTATAAACCCTAAGCATTTCTATATTCAATCTACAGCTTCGACGTCGTTTTTGTCTTTAGCTTTTTTTTTTTTGGAATCGTGTTCTTGATTGCATTTTCGGTTAGTTCTACACTCTTTCTTGAACACTCTGTTCCGTTTGGTTTCCGAGAAACTGGAGGAAAATGAAAGAAAATGCATTTAACTTTAGTTTATGTTACACTGTTTCTGAAACGATTTCTTCCGTTTGATTGCCGCAGTCTGATTCTCGAGGATATGGCTAAACAGAGCCTATGTGTGTGCTTCGCGGTAATTGTCATCTCCGCCATTCTGGTTTCAGAGGCTGGG